GCCCCAAGACACACACACACACTTTACAGTTTGTGGACACACATATACAGGGAGTGCAGAATTATTAGGCAAGTTGTATTTTTGAGGATTAATTTTATTATTGAACAACAACCATGTTCTCAATGAACCCAAAAAACTCATTAATATCAAAGCTGAATATTTTTGGAAGTAGTTTTTAGTTTGTTTTTAGTTTTAGCTATGTTAGGGGGATATCTGTGTGTGCAGGTCACTATTACTGTGCATAATTATTAGGCAACTTAACAAAAAACAAATATATACCCATTTCAATTATTTATTATTACCAGTGAAACCAATATAACATCTCAACATTCACAAATATACATTTCTGACATTCAAAAACAAAACAAAAACAAATCAGTGACCAATATAGCCACCTTTCTTTGCAAGGACACTCAAAAGCCTGCCATCCATGGATTCTGTCAGTGTTTTGATCTGTTCACCATCAACATTGCGTGCAGCAGCAACCACAGCCTCCCAGACACTGTTCAGAGAGGTGTACTGTTTTCCCTCCTTGTAAATCTCACATTTGATGATGGACCACAGGTTCTCAATGGGGTTCAGATCAGGTGAACAAGGAGGCCATGTCATTAGATTTTCTTCTTTTATACCCTTTCTTGCCAGCCATGCTGTGGAGTACTTGGACGCGTGTGATGGAGCATTGTCCTGCATGAAAATCATGTTTTTCTTGAAGGATGCAGACTTCTTCCTGTACCACTGCTTGAAGAAGGTGTCTTCCAGGAACTGGCAGTAGGACTGGGAGTTGAGCTTGACTCCATCCTCAACCCGAAAAGGCCCCACAAGCTCATCTTTGATGATACCAGCCCAAACCAGTACTCCACCTCCACCTTGCTGGCGTCTGAGTCGGACTGGAGCTCTCTGCCCTTTACCAATCCAGCCACGGGCCCATCCATCTGGCCCATCAAGACTCACTCTCATTTCATCAGTCCATAAAACCTTAGAAAAATCAGTCTTGAGATATTTCTTGGCCCAGTCTTGACGTTTCAGCTTGTGTGTCTTGTTCAGTGGTGGTCGTCTTTCAGCCTTTCTTACCTTGGCCATGTCTCTGAGTATTGCACACCTTGTGCTTTTGGGCACTCCAGTGATGTTGCAGCTCTGAAATATGGCCAAACTGGTGGCAAGTGGCATCGTGGCAGCTGCACGCTTGACTTTTCTCAGTTCATGGGCAGTTATTTTGCGCCTTGGTTTTTCCACACGCTTCTTGCGACCCTGTTGACTATTTTGAATGAAACGCTTGATTGTTCGATGATCACGCTTCAGAAGCTTTGCAATTTTAAGAGTGCTGCATCCCTCTGCAAGATATCTCACTATTTTTGACTTTTCTGAGCCTGTCAAGTCCTTCTTTTGACCCATTTTGCCAAAGGAAAGGAAGTTGCCTAATAATTATGCACACCTGATATAGGGTGTTGATGTCATTAGACCACACCCCTTCTCATTACAGAGATGCACATCACCTAATATGCTTAATTGGTAGTAGGCTTTCGAGCCTATACAGCTTGGAGTAAGACAACATGCATAAAGAGGATGATGTGGTCAAAATACTCATTTGCCTAATAATTCTGCACTCCCTGTACACTACAGCCCCCTAACCACACACAGTACACCACAAACAGACACATTCGCAAACTACACCACAAACAGCTGACTCTACACACACACACAATCGAACAAGCAGCATTCAGACACACAAAACACTACAGATAGTTTTCCCCACTTGTGTCCTCTGATTTTCTGCTTACAATTCACCAGAGATAGTTTACCAGTAAATACAGTGCAGGCATGTCAAATTGGCTTGTGTCTTATAAAACAAACAGAGCACATTTTCCCTGGAGGGACATCAAACTAAAGCGCTTACTTTGAAGGGGTGTATGTGCATGCCCCTCTCTGGCCTTAGCCCCTCTTATTGGACTGCTCTGTCTTTAAATGCCTGGGCTGAATCTTTTTCCCAATCCAGTCCTGATTGGTACAAAGAATATGTGGGTGGCGGCGGTGGCCTTATCAAAATGGCAGCCTTTACTGCCAATGTATGGTTTGTCTCGGTGGAGATGTTGTACTAAGTTACTAGTCATTGTGCTATAATCAGATTAGGTTTCTACTGGTCCTCATCAATATAAGTAAACCTGTGACCCTTTTAAATATTAGGATAAATGCCTTAGTTCCATCAGACACTACAGTTTAACCAATAGATAATGAGAGCTGCAGAAATCATATGACTTACAAAAACCAAACGGGAAATAGAAATCATCAATATAAATTAAAAGGTCATGAAATGAAAAAAAAACAAGCTTCTTATTCACAATATTTTAAAATAAATAATAAAAAAAATGTTTTCCAGTGGAAAAAAAAACAGACATGCACATAGCAGCTCTTTTAGTTTGCAGAGTAAGGATATATATTTTCTAAAAATGTCAAAACTGTAAAGTGCTTTTTTTTGTTATAATTTCGCAACTGTTTGATTTACTGTAGATAGTTCCATTGCTTGTGGATATTATTTTTACTAATGTGGCTGTGGTTATATCACCACCGATAAACCCCAGATCCTTGGAATGATCGGACTGCATGCAGACAGATGTATGTTCTAGAATTTATATTGGCTGAGATATTAAATATGCCTGAACTTAGACTCAGAAAAGCTAATTCTTGTTCCCAACTTATTCTTGTAGAAAACTGCATCCAAGGACATGATGATGACCACAACATTTTGTTTTTCTTAGCTATTTCTGTAATTACAGTGTACACTTTCCACCTCACTGTGTCTAGTCTGAATTTAAACAGTTACTGCTGCTGCCACTATATATTCATTCCATTTTTACAGAAATATATATTTTTTAAAAACAAAAACAAATAATGCCTCATTGGGCCCTCCCTTCCAAACGCTGGTATTAAGATAAACTTTTTACCTGGAATCCAGTAACAGGCAGAGATCATAGAGAAGCCTTTGATTGGACCATTTTATGTCAGAGCACATGCACAGACTCTGAGCCAACGAGTGGAGGGGGAGAGGGAGTGAGGAGGAAGACAGGAAAGGAGGAGAGAAATAAAAAAATGAAAAAAATTAACTGAGAAATGAGGACTGCAGAGAGGGAGGGCGATTGCATCGCTTGCTCGACCAACAGGAAAGGGAGGTTCATCCTAATTACTGGCCACTCTTACAGTCAACCAGCCAGGCCAGGACACTGTTTTTGTGCTCTCTGCGGGCACCTGGTACCCTGAACAAAGCGCAAGCTCGTCTAATCATAGGGACAGCAGGACATCCAAAATTGGGATGGTTGTGAGGTCTGATTGATTTTCCCGTCTTTGCTAGACATTGTCCAATCGATGGCTTCTCATTGGGTAGCCATCATCATGCATGAGATGTATTACAGCACATATGAATGGCAAACCCCTAGATCACTTCCGCTTTGAACTATAATTCAATGTGATTGAGGCAGGAAACCCTCCCAGTTTTCTGATTGACAGTTAGGAAGGTGTGACAAGTGTGTTTTAGAATACAATACAAAAGAAACATAAGGAATGCCCAACTTAAGATGTATTAGGGTCAGAAGAGCAATGTTTCTACTCTCCAGTCAAATCTTTTTCAAGCCTCAGACTCTAGTCGAAGGCACTTTGGATTGAGTCTATTCTTTTTTCCGGTGCTGTACAAATATGTGTTAAAAAAAGAAAAAAAAGAAATTAACACTTTTGCAAAACAAGCCTGAATGGACATGGGAATTTAACCGTAAAAAAGCAGAAGTCCTTTTGGTGCTTGGAGTGTTCATTTAATGTAGGTCATTTTAGTAATCTACCTTTAAAAACAAGATACATCTGCAAAAATGCTAATTATTTTTTAGTTCCATAAGCAGACATCACCCTTAATTGAAAATGACTGTGGCAGCAAAGGTGTTACAATAATCTTACAATCACCATGACACTGATGCAAAATTCGGTTGCTATAGGGAATATCGGAATATTTTAATATTTTTGCTCAGCTTAATGCAATAAAAAAATATTGAAGTCATTAAAACAAAATGAAAATGGAAAACAGAATGAGTAACCAACTTATTGGGATTTAACTATGTCTTGGCAATTCTTTAATCATCCACTTATTGTTCTCTAAAGTCCTTGTTACAAGATAGATTATACAAAATAATCCTTGCAGTCACAACAAAAAGCTAACATTACATTTGAGCTAATGACATAATAAAAAAAATAGAACAAATGGAAAAGCGCTAAGAGAGATGATAACGAGAGGCAGGAAGCAAATAACCTATAATCTAACCTGTGAATCCCTCAATTGCAATAAGACAGATATAACAAAAGGAAAACTAAGTTGCACCAAAGACAATGAGCCACAAATAACCTAGTGACAGATACAAAACAGTCTCTAGTAGAGGACTCAAAATGCCGGTATCACACTTGATGTGCTTACATGCCTAAGGGGAAACCTAGATGCTGGATTGAGCATGACAATGGATGACAATGGATAGTGGAGTATACTTCCCGATTACAATGATCCTCAGGATACAATGGAGAATAATGTCCAAAAAAAAGAAACAAAAAAAACGACAAAAACACAAGGCTACTCAGCTAATGAAAAAAAGAAAAAGTCAAATTTTATCAAAATAATCTATATACATCATTTAAAGAAAATCATTAGGTTCCATTAAATGTAGTAAACATTTAAAAAATGAGAAGTGAAAGTTTGAAAACAGTTGTCCTTTAAGGTAGATGTCATAGAGACAAAAAATTCTCAAAACTGTAGCAAGTGGAGCAATTATCATGTATACAATTATCATGTAGTAATGTACCTAAATATGAGTTGCAGTTCTCTATTCTCTATTCCAGGGGTGCCCAAAAGGTAGACCCCCAGATCAGTGCTGTATCCTGGTTTTGTGCTGCCCTAGGCAGGACAAAACTCAGGCGCCCCCCGCGCCACCCCCACCCAACCCTTCCCCCCGCCCCACCTTCTAAATACACACACACACACACACACACAGTCAGACACATACACAGACACACAGTCAGACACATTCACAGACACAAACACAGTCAGACACACACACACAGTCAGACACACACACAGTCAGACACACACACACACAGTCAGACACACACACACACACACACACACTCACAAACACAGTCAGACACAAACACACACTCACAAACACAGTCAGACACAAACACACACACAGTCAGACACACACACACACGGACAAACACACCCACAGTCAGGCACAGTCAGACACATACACAGTCAGACACACACACAGTCAGACACACAACACACACACACACAAACACACACACAGTCACACACACACACAGTCAGACACAAACACACACATACACAAACACAGTCAGACACAAACACACACTCACAAACACAGTCAGGCACAAACACACACACAGTCAGACACAAACACACACACACACAGTCAGACACAAACACACACACAGACAAATACACACACACAGTCAGACACATACACAGACAAAAACAGTCAGACACAAACACACACACTCACAAACACAGTCAGACACAAACACACACACAGTCAGACACACACACACATTAACTTTTTTTTTAATTTAAATCCCCCCCCCCAACCTCCTTACCTTTGGGAGTGCTGGGGGGGGGTCTCTCTCCCTGGTGGTCCGGTGGTCCAGTGGCTGCAGGTCGGGCAGGTGGCGCTGGCAGGCGGGCGGCTGGCGAGGGAGCACTTCCTATGAGCGGTCTGCTCAGCTCCCTCGCGCGCCGGCTGCAGAGTGAGGCTGGGAGCCGGAAGATGATGTCATCAACCCGGCTCCCAGCCTCACTCTGCGGTGCGCAAGGGAGCTGAGGAGAGAGCCCATAGGAAGTGCTCCCTCGCCAGCCGCCCGCCTGCCTGCCTGCTCGGGATGTCTGTTAGCCGCGAGGCTAACTAGGCATTTGCCTTGGGCATTTGGGGGGCGGCGTTTTTTGCCGCCCCCTGAAAAATGCCGCCCAAGGCAAATGCCTTGTTTGCCTCGCGGCTAATACGCCCCTGCCCCAGATGCTTTAAAACTACAACTTCCATGCTGCTATGTTATTCTAAAGGCATGCAAAGAATCATGAGAGGTGTAGTTCTACAGCATCTGGGGATCTACCTTTTGGGGACCCATGCTCTATTCTCTATCTAACATTCAAGCTTACTGAGATTAATGTAGGTAGTATCAATATGTTAAAGGTCATGGAAAGAAAATGTGAACACATTAACCAAATAAAAGGAGCACTATAGTCACCCGAACAACTACTCCTTATTTTATTTTTTTGTTCTGGTTAGTATAATCATTCCCTTCAGTCTTTTTGCGGTAAACACAGTTTTTTCAGAGAAAATGCAATGTTTACATTACAGCCTAGGGATACCTCCACTGACCACTCCTTATATGGCTACTAGATGTGCTTCCTGGGGCAGGGCTGCACAGTGTGCATCAGTGACATTCAGTGTCACCCCCCTCTGCACGGAGATACTGAACTTTCCTCATAGAGATGCACTGATTCAATTCATCTCTATGAGGAGATGCTGATTGGCCAGGGCTGTGGTGGCTTGTTCTGGCTCTGTCCCTGATCTGCCTCCTTCACAGTTTCAGCCAATCCAATGCTTTCCTAATGGAAAGCATTGTAATTGGCTGAGATAATCAATTCTGATGATGTCAGCCAAGCCGGCAGATTAGGGGCAGAGCCAGCACCAGCAGATTGGAGTAAAGTAAGATTTAGCTATATTTGGGGAAGCAAAGGGAGGCCAGTGGGGAATGATAGTGTTTTAACACTATAGGGTCAGGAATACATGTTTGAGTTCCTGACCCTATAGTGTTCCTTTAATATAATGCAAGAGTGTATTTCTCCAAAAGTTAAAATTCTGATATGTTTGACTCATATATAGCACAATGTAGTGGTCATGGTGATTGGAGTGTTACTTTCATATACAATGAAGAGGTGGTGGAGTAGTTATTTGGACCACTTAATGCAGAAATAAAGATTATCTAGCACATTGCAAGATCAGATAGAGCAAAACATATAATTACATAAAGTATAAAAAGCAGAATACTATACATTTTTACATTAATTCATTTTATTATTTTACTATTTTTTTCTTTTAACAATTAATATATATTTTGAAAAGAGAGTGTTCCCATTTTTCAGTCTGGAATCCATTCAATGAAATGCCTCAATATCATATTTCCAAAGTGTAGCTATGTAGTAGAAACTAATATCGGAAAGAAAAAAGAAATGATCCAGAACTTAGCATTTCACAGCAATTCACAGCAATGTAGTATATAGTAACATGTGATGATCAAAGGTAATTTTATTTCACGGTTGTTCTCCTTTAAATAAGTAACTATTTGGACAGATGCCTTTCTTTGTTTGCTTTTAGCGCCCATCCTTTGTGTTTTGGCCTCTGGAAAACTGCAAGTATTAAATGTGAAATTACATATTTAATATCTACATGATATTATGAATTAATCAACTGTAGATATTCTTCTACATGTCTCGTTGCTTGCCATGTTTGCATTTACTGTTGATGATGACATCAGCTGACGAGTGTTCTAGTTCCACTCCATTTCCATGAATTGATCATCGCACTGCACGTATCTGGTTACTAATGTATAATTATCATGTGACAGAGTTGTTTATTTTGTTTCTGACAGCATCATTGTAGCTCTATATACAGATTGGCCGAAGCAAGGATGTAAATTAGTCCTTGTGGAGAAGACAAAGTACGCTTAATAAAATCCGATGAGCGCCACTGATTCTAGATTTTACTCCAACGAATAATCATTTTCCCATTCACTGCATGTGATAAATGATATCAGATGAAAATTGTGAAACAAAATGATTTTCAGCTGTAGAACAGTGAGTATCTATGTCATATATATATATATATATATATATATATATATATTATAGAAGACCATAGCATTCACCAGGGCTGAATTTTCACTTGCCAATAGCTGATAGGCAAGATAGATAGATAGATAGATAGATAGATAGAAGGGTAGATAGATAGACAGACAGACAGACGGACAGACAGATAGATAAAGATAGATAGATAAATAGATAGATAGATAGATAGATAGATAGATAGATAGATAGATAAATAGATATTAGATAGAAGGGTAGACAGACAGACAGACAGACAGAAGGGTAGATAGATAGATAGATAGATAGATAGATAGATAGATAGATAGATAGATAGATAAAGATAGATAGATAAATAGATAGATAGACAGATAGATAGATAGATAGATAGATAGATAGATAGATAGATAGATAGAAGGGTAGATAGATAGATAGATAGATAGATAGATAGATAGATAGATAGATAGATAGATAGATAGATAGATAAAGATAGATAGATAGATAGATAGATAGATAGATAGATAGATAGATAGATAGACAGACAGATAGAAGGATATCTGGATGGATAGATAGATAGATAGATAGATAGATAGATAGATAAAGATAGATAGAAGGGTAGATAGATAGATAGATAGATAGATAGATAGATAGATAGATAGATAGAAGGGTAGATAGATAGATAGATAGATAGATAGATAGATAGATAGATAGATAGATAGATAGAAGGGTAGATATATAGATAGAAAGAAAGAAAGAAAGAAAGAAAGAAAGAAAGATAGATAGATAGATAGATAGATAGATAGATAGATAGATAGATAGATAGAAGGGTAGATATATAGATAGAAAGAAAGAAAGATAGATAGATAGATAGATAGATAGATAGATTTGCAGGACGTCTCGTGGGCAGTTCCCTTCCTATGGAATAGCCTGCCTACCACCATCAGACTCACCCCTAGTCTAGAAGTGTCATAAAACCTATCTCTTCAGAAACGTTTAGAAGGGTAGATAGATAGATGGATAGGTAGATAGATAGAAGGGTAGATAGATATATAGATAGATAGAAGGGTAGATAGATATATAGATAGACAGACAGGCAGATAGACAGATAGACAGACAGAGAGACAGATAGACAGACAGACAGACAGACAGAGAGACAGACAGACAGACAGACAGACAGACAGATAGACAGAGAGACAGAGAGACAGAGAGACAGAGAGACAGATAGACAGATAGATAGATAGACAGATAGATAGGTAGATAGATAGATAGAAGGATAGATAGATAGATAGATAGATAGATAGATAGATAGATAGATAGAAGGGTAGATAGATAGATAAATAGATAGATAGATAGATAGATAGCTAAAGATGGATAGAAGGGTAGATAGATAGATAGATTTGCAGGACTTCTCGCGGGCAGCTCCCTTCCTATGGAATAGCCTGCCTACCACCATCAGACTCACCCCTAGTCTAGAAGTATCATAAAACCTATCTCTTCAGAAAAGTTTATGGCCTCTCAGAGCTCTACCTCACGTACCTATCCCTTGCTCTCTCCTAAAGGGCAGCACTCTACTCTCTCCTCCAGCTCTGCTTCCCTCCCACCTTTTTTGATTGCGAATTCCTGTCCTTTTGTATTTTATACCCCACCTCCTACTGATTGTAAGCTCGTTTGAGTAGGGCCCTTTTCAACCTATCGTTCCTGTAAGTTTTTTGTAATTGTCATTTATAATATTGTAAAGCGCTACAGAATCGGTTGGCGCTGGTCAGAAATAATTACGTCAATTTGGACGTTTTCACCTTTCTAGCTCCAATCAACTATGATTGACATGAGCCATGACGTCACACTTTTTTTTTTATAGTTTAGTTATTAGCATTCTGAAATATACAAAATTGACACAAGGTCCCCCCTGTATCTATATAAACGTGTGTAATCTCTGGCCCTGTGCCATTTTGTGGTTTTCTATGTATTTATTATTTACTTCTAGTTGTTCCTGTCCTATTTCCAGCATTCCTGACCCAGCTAAGTTAATGACATGAGTTATTCCTGTCCCGCTAGGTTACTGAACTCAAGTTACATTCCTGTTTCCAGTATATATCAGACCAGCTCTGTTGTTGACTTTGTATTTGTCTATTGATTTTCATTATTATTTTCATGTCCTCCTGGTCTGAAATACAATTCCAACAAAACGCTGCTGCCATTTTAGTTCAGTTTCTTCCCAAGCGGAATTAAATGCAGCTTCTGCAATGTGGAAATGTAGCTCCCACTAATCTCAGGCAGCACTAGGAAATGTATATTCTACTTCTGCCTTAACTGTACACTACCATTACACACCACATCTAATACTAGACCTAACACTAACCCTAGCCCTAACACAAACGTTAACACTAACCCTAAAAATAACCATTGCATAATGGTAACAATAACCCTAACCCTGTGTTTAGAAACGAACTCATTTCAGGTCCACTAGGTCGCATCATTCCAGCTGAAACCAATTGTAAATGACGCGAGCCTGCAAGTTTCTCGCCTTTTTATGCAGAATAGTTATCAGCGTCCTGACTGACGCACTGTGAATTCAGCAATGATTAAAATAAACCCAAGGGCCTGGGCCTATATCTACTCATGTAATCTCTGGTTCTTTTGTGGTTTCCGAGCGCATGTAAGTGAATTTGCACTGGTTATCCATTACAATGAAAATTAAAGAGTTAGGGATTCCTAGTCCCAACCTCTCTCTCCTACTTTCCCATTTGTAAACCAGAGCTGGGAATGTCTAATGTCCAGACTCGTTCTTCCAATATAACAAATTTCAACCTTTCATCACGTTCAATTACACAAAAATAAATATATGTCCTAATATGCTTCTTCTTTTTATATGTAAGAATATATGGCATGGTGCTTTGGTCAGTCATCGGTAGAATGAATCTGAACCCTTTGACTGTCATAAAGTATTCAGTGCCGCTCCGCACAATTTAATAGGGCTAATTCTTAGAGCAGCCAATCACAATTAAAGTTAAAAGCTGTTATATTTCGTAGTAATCGGTGTTGAAGAAGGATTATTATCTTTGTCTAGGTCGCTCTTATTTTGTTGTCAGTTTCTATATATTATTTTATATTAATGGCCAGTTTTCTGGGTTGAAAAACAGCAATTTTAAGACATTAACTGAAATGTGTGATCATCACAGAAAAGAATAACCAGTTCTACCTGTGAAAAATGGTGGAAATTTTTTTTATTTGTTATACTTCCAAGGCTAATCATTAATGTAGAACTCCATGCTCCCTTTTCTACACATATAACAAAGGGGAGAATCTGTTGAGACCCCGATTTAATTCTATTTAAAGGGACACTATAGTCACCTTAACAACTTTAGCTTAATGAAGCAGTTTTAGTGAATAGATCATGCCTCTCAGGTTTCATTGCACAATTCACTGCCATTTAGGAGTTAAATCACTTTGTTTCTGTTTATGCAGCCCTTGTCACACCTCCCCTGGCTCTGATTGACACAGCCTGCATGAAAAAACTGGTTTCACTTTCAATCAGATGTAATTTACCTTAAACAATTTTATCTCTTGCTCTGTAAATTGAACTTTAATCACATACAGGAGGGTCATGCAGGTTATTAACATAACAGGGGATAAAAAAAAATCTAAATTAAACAGAACTTGCAATAAAGAAAGGATAAACTTTAGATGACTCTTTACAGGAAGTGTTTAGGAAGGCTGTGCAAGTCACATGCAGGGAGGTGTGACTAAGGTTCATAAACAAAGTTATTTAACTCCTAAATGGCTGCGAATTGAGCAGTGAGACTCCAAGGACATGATCTATACACCAAAACTGCTTCATTGAGCTAAAAAATTTTGGTGACTATAGTGTCCCTTTAAATAGAACCAAATCGGTGTCTCAATAGATTCTTCCTTTGTTATATGTGTAGAAAAGGGAGCACAGAGTTGTACATTAATTATTAGCCTTGGAAGTATAGCAAATTAACACATTGCTTACTTTTATTTTAATAGAACACAAAATTAAACCATAGAACCTTTCAACTTCACTGTAATGCATGTTGGGAAAGAAGGTCACAGTTTTCAGGTTTTGGAGAGTGAGCTATAAATCGTGATTTAGATTAATCTTGATAGTCTTACTAATGTTTATTATCTGACTATTATGAAACAGTAATTTGCCATGACTTGCAAGTGACTACTACACTTGCTGTGTGAGTTAAACCTCTGATTCATAGCCAGTTCACCCCCTCCCCCTGGCACTGCCCTAGTAATATAATGGCTAAATGAGCAATGAAACCTCCATGGAGGGATTATTTACCTTTTGCATCTACGGCTGTTGTTGGACAGTCATTCCCAGTCTGCTTTGAATTGACTGAATGCGATAGATGTTGAAGGGAAACAGCAGCTGGGTTTGTCCAAGTTGGTATCAAAATTGTATCAAGATGTCTTTGTTTACGAGAGCTGAGATCATCTCGACTTGGATCTCAAATTTCCAACATTCACCAGTATTGTTTTTCCTTTAGTTAAACAGAGGTATATTCCCTTGCAATTGTAAAACAACTTTCGCTCAAAAGGCATTTTTTATATTTTTATCAAATGTAGGCTATAATTTAAAAAAAAAATTATACAATGTTAAAATAATTTAATGTTTTGAATATTTTGATATGTTTTTTAAGTTACCACATTATCATAGTAGATAGTTCTTTTTTCTTTTGATAGGTTGTAATAGTATCATTATAGTAGACAGCTCTTATTCATCTATACAATATTGTCATTTATATCTTTGATACCTAGACAATGTTTTTCCGTTTTTAATTCTATTATCCCTTATATTATCTCTTCGTGTCTCGATATGTACGTATCTAGACCGACTATGACTATATATGTGATATAATCACTCTATTTTGTATTCACCATTAAAAGTCAAATTTTTAAACTTTATATATCTCCTTTGGTAGTGTTTCCTTTCCTTTTTCTTTAATTATATGTTTTTTAAGTTCATCTAATTTTTACATTTCATAGTTTTATATATGATATTTTAAAATATATTGTAATATTTTGAAAAACAATTTTTAAATCTTAGGTAGGTAGGTAAGCCACATTGTTTAGTTCCCAAAATGTGTGATATTGGCCTTCCAAAAACAGATATGCAAAATTATTTATATTACCAAAATATATATACTAACCCAATTTACTTGCTTTTTAGCAGCTGTACAGTGAAACAAATGGCCAAACTGAGACTCATGTGGTTGCAGCTCAGTATGTCAAGCTTGCAGACATAGACTAGAGATTTAGTTAATTATTCAAAACTTTAGAATAGGCAGAAATGCAATCCAAGTGACTTTGATTATAATATCATTGTCGGTGACAGGTGTAATAGTTCAAGAATGTCAGATACAAGTGACCACTTGGGATTTTTTTATATGCTACAGTTTCCAACATTTAAGAAGAATCGTGCGATAACCAAAAATATCCTTTGCATACTCAGTCCTGTGAATAAAAATGCTCTAGTAGGGGGGCGGGACTTGGACGCCATCCTGGAAGGTCGCAGGACGATTGAGCTCCTGATAAAATCCGACTTAAAAGCATCTTAAAGGGGGGAAAATACCCCAACACAGCTAGTTTGCACAAGACAATCAATCTCCCGCACCGTGACCTAACAGTGGACAATAAAACCACCATCCCTGCTAACCAGCAGATGCGGCCTAAAATCTAAAGCGGCCTGGTGCTGCCCTGGCTGGAGAAACGGCCGATCTCCACACCCAGGGCGACGCAGGCTCTCACTCTTGTGGACAGTCCGAGCCACGTACTCCCCCCCTCTGGGCCGGCGGGGGTTATCCCGGCCTCCACTAAGCGGGTACTCACCTCCTGAACGCTCCTGGGTGACACAGGCGAAAGCAGCCTACACGCGCTCCCCCAAGATGGCCAACTGCGATGCTGCGCAAACCTGCCTGCAACTCAGCAACTGAGAAGCAGACTTCAAGCAAAGATTCAACACTATGTGCCTACGGTATTAGAGCGACTGGGAGAAGTGGCGAAAGCCACCTACAATGCCTGCACCCGTGGCGCAACCCCCGGAAAGAGTTCTGGCTCGATGCCTCACTCCTGAACGGAAGATTCAGAGGGTCCGGGGTCCGCGCCCCGGGCTGCGACACCGTCGACCGAGAAACCAACACCCCCCTCCAAAGACAGTGAAGTTGGTTCATGGACACGAGGAAAGGGAACCTGATAACACCCGATGCTGTTACTCTGATGCGGCTTGGCGCGGAGACGCAGGAGGGGACAAGATACTGCTGCACAAGCCTGCCATGGGCATAGGCTGAGAGAACTGTTATATCCAGGCTAACCACTTATTTTTTACTTTTCATTTTATTATTGCTGCCTTGATGATAACATGTTTGAAATTTTACTTTTAATCTGCATTCTATGTGCCCCTCCACTGGCAACCAACATAGAGGTCAGACACATACACTCACTTTTTGCATAGCTTAACTTAGCAAACATTCTCTCAGCAAACTATGGGATCACTCACAAGCAAGCACACATGTGCACAGGGCTCTTCATCCAACCCGCTTTAGGCTTAAACCCCAGCTACACACTGTCAATCTTCCACAACACAGCGGCAGCACTTAGCGAACAGTAAACACAAAATGTGACAGGCCCATTTACCAGCCGAATAGGCTGCATACTCACACTAAGTTCCTGTTTAATACATCCTCGTTGTTTAATTCATGTACAATTGAGCGAACCTAATCGCCTAAGCTTAGAGTACCCATACCTGTTTGAATGTTAACTCCTACATATTCCATACGCAATGTATGTTAAATGTCTCAAGCCTGCTGACCTCAACGTGACCCACCACATTGGACGTACTTACTTAGCCTATAATCAGCTTGCATTATAAACCTTATAAAATGGTGCTTTCACTCTAAATGCCACACAAATGTTTAATTATATTTGTATTCTAATAGCCTGTAACTGCCGTCGTGGCATTACAAGCATGCTTGTTATTTCTTGCACAGCAAAAAATAATAATAAATAAATAAATAAAAAATGCTCTAGTAATAAGAGCATTCAGTGGAAAATGGCAAGACTCATTCAGCTTTGCACAAAGATTACTAAAGTTCAAATAACCTCTCTTTACATTCGAAAGGGCATATCTAAACATGCAATATATCAAACGTTGAAGTGGATACTGTAGCAACAAGACTGCGTATAGTTCTACTCTTGTCAGCTAAGAACAAAATGATGAATTTACATTGAGCATGGGGTCATCAAAACACGATAAATGAAGATTCTGAAATGCCACCCAACCTGATAACTAGTATCGATTTCTACTGGGACACACAAATTACAGCACGGAAAGTTGTTTTATACATCAGTAATCCATAGATCTATCCTAAATCTGACATGCACAATGCCATAAAAACATCATCCCAAGCTTGTATCAGGAACATTCAAGGGATATTGTATTTAAATGGTCTTATCCATTGTCAGATCTAAATATCATACAGCAGCTTTGAAACCAGGTGGAGTCCTGGCAACATGATCAAATGGCCGACAATTCTTCACAAACTGAACAATGCTATTGAGTCAGCAGTGACAAACCCCCCTCAGGGATATTTCCAACACCTTATTGAAACTATGACTTTATAAATTCCAACTGTTCTAAAAGCAATGACTCCCATCCTGGATTAGAAAGGTGGATAGTGTTTTAATATAATGGAAAAAGACCTCCAGCATTTTGTGAAAGAAAGAACCAATGCTGAGTTCATGCCTCAACCTTTTCATTTAAGTAAATAGTAAATGCTCATTAGCCTGTACAGATATCAGTTATTTACCGTCCTAGACAGACAGACAGACAGACAGACAGACAGATTTAAGCTTTTTTCATGGCTCAGTCGAAACCATATCAGTCTTTTTCACAGCTGAGTGCTAGGAATTAAAGAAAGGGGATCTACATACAGTATGCCATAATCCATGCAAAGCTTAGAGAGCAGAGAATAAATTAAGATCCCACTGGACTTTATGCAGTTTACTGGAGTGTCCCCCCACCCCCCTTTATTCTTCATGTAGGGATGCTTAATTGGGCCAAGCAAATTCATGGTTCCAAGACCTATGTTAATCCTGTGAGACAGTCCCTTAGCATTCCAGAACTTTGTAAACCAATAAAAGACTTCTCCTGTCCCACACTACACAGATCTATTATGAAGAAGCTATAAAAGTTTTGGTTAGCAAATTATTAAAATTGATGCTTCTATTTAGGATTTGCAATTCTTGAAAAATATTTTTACTAGCAAATATTCCATACCATTTGTTTATAAGGTCACTATACCTACAGCAACATTGTTTTGTTTATACTTTTTATCATATGATTATATTGATTCATTATCGTTCATACTCTTCGTTAACATTAATATTAGTGTTAAGAAAGCAGTAAACATTTAGACAAAATTGCAAAGAGAGACAGGAAAAGAAAATAGCTCGACTGATCAATGTGAAACAAAGTCTATCAATAAAGCTAAAATTCTAATAATATTCATTATAAAACAGTTATTTTTCTGTATTCATTATACATATAGTACATTTTCTAAAATAACTTTTAATAGGACTATTTTTAATTATAAGTTGCAAATAATCTTACATTTATAATTTTATGTAATTTTTAAATCAATTGCAGACATTTTTCTTACAGGAATTTGCAACAATAATAGAAACCTATAGATTGCACTTAAAGTGTTGTTTGGTGATTATGAACTACAAAGCAGTAAAGCTGTAAAGAAATTGACAGATATCTAATTTTGAAATTTATGAAAAATGTATTCTCTGAGAATTTTTATAAAAAAAAGACCCAAAGTTGTGTCAATTATGTCAATTGTGTCAATTATGTCAATTATGGTAGCTATTACACTGTTTATTGTTAAGCTAATAATGATTGACTTTGCAAAAGGAACTGAGTCATCAAGTCATCAACTCTATGGAATGTCACACCTGATAACAGATGTTTTGTATGTAGATCAAACCATAAACAGGCGATGTTCTTATCATGACAGATCGAACACATGACAGGTTGAATATGGTACATGTATTCAGATGAAAAAAAACCCAGAGTGTTTCACTGGGACTTTTCATTTAGAGGTTGCCATACAGGTGTGCTAACGGAATCTGTGTATGAAACAGGTGCTTTATTTTGTCCTATAAGTGATTTTTAGAAGTAATGTTCTATATAGTGTTGCACTAGTAAGATTACGTTTTGAATACTGTATGTTATGTTGTTGCAAAAATATGTTTTTTCTTAACTCTTATCATGTCTGTGCCTTGGATTGACATAATGTACACCATAAGGGTGGCCAAACACCTCTAGGAACATCAGTATATACACCAGTTTATACACCAACTACTCAATAGTCCGTCACTCTGAAACTACAGTCCAGTCTAAGCGTGGAGAACATTAAGATCATTGGCCATCACTCCAAAAACAAACCCTCACAGAGCTGGACTTCCAAAGTCTCTACATAACTCCTACTGCCTCACTCCTGCAGTACTCTGCCAACTTGAAGAGTAAGCCCTTTTATTTTATGCTAGGGGCCTTGGGGGATAGTTGCCCCTCTTGCCAGTTCTAATATGGTGGCCAAAGAAGAAAAACTACCACAACAAGAGGAAAACATTTTAAATTAGCGGGGCAAAGGTTTAAAAATAATATCAGGAATTATTATTTTACTGAGCGTGTAGTGGATGCATGGAATAGTCTTACAGCAGAAGTGGTAGAGGTTAATATAGTGAGGGAGTTTGAGCATAGAGACTAATGAGAGTATTTAGCACTAGATGGGCCAAATGTTTTTTATCTGCCATTACATTCTACGTTTCTATGTAATAACTAACCATGTTGCTTTACTGGGAGTAAGGGTGGCAAAGCATCATGGGAGTGGTAGTTTTATGATAACTAAGGATCTGCATCTTAGACATCCCCGGTGTACACCATTTACTCCTCTTATGAGTCTATTTAACATCTATTCCAATTACAACACTGGTAGGTATACACATAAAATATGGTTAAGGTTCTATGGCAGCTGGTGTTCTTTGGAGCTCTTTGGAAGAGTTATTGCACAGTGTATATAATATGAAGGTTTACTCTATGCCATTATATGTATTATTTATTGAATTAAGTAAAGAAAGGAGCACTTAATAATTACTATTAAATATCTAATTTTATTTATATATATTTATATATGTGTGTGTGTGTGTGTATATATATATATATATATATATATAAAGAAAAACAGAAAACTCTTGCACTCACACTCACAACCCTTGTTTGCCGGGTGCTCAGCCAGGGCTTGGTTATCCAAATATCCAAAGAGGTAGCAGCACTCACGGAATTAAAAGTTCAAATCTTTATTAGGTCATATTAAAAGTCAGGAGTGCTGCTACCTCTTTGGATATTTATATATATAAAAATATTGCAAAAGATAGCACTCCAAGGACTAATATAAAATATAACTTTTATTACCTCCACTAAAACATCACAAGGTCAACGTTTCAGCTTGATCCCCTCAAGATCCGGCGCACTCACTTATCCACTAAACGGCAACTTCAATGTTGACAGATTGTATTAGTTTTTTTTTTGTTTTTTTTAAACACCTAATCTATGCAAAAATAATGGGTATTTAGTTACATTATATGATCATACATTGCATAAGCCTACCACAATGTCAACGTAACCCATATATAAACATCCAATGTCCCTTGCACTCCTGCTTTCAGTATTTCACTGTAGGGTGCACAACACCTTGGCTCCAAATAATGTAGGTATCAATGAAGTTTGCTGCACTCTGGACTTTAAAACTTCAATTCTTTATTAAATCAATTTTAAAAGTCCAGAGTGCAGCCAACTTCATTGATACCTCTCTCTCTCTCTCTCTCTCTATATATATATATTTCCTGGCTAATCATGGCAGCATATACATATAGGTTAGCTCCTCTCCTTACCGCCAATAGGACAGGAATAAAACAAAAGCCTTTAACCCCTTAAGGACGCAGGACGTTCTATGCTGTCCTTAAGGGGCTGGCTCTAAACGCCGCAGGATGGCATAGAACGTCCTGGCCGTTCTTGCCGCCCACGTGGCCGGTGCCATTACCCTGCTGCAGATCGCGGTTGGGGGGCATGCCTGGCCCCCCAGGCAGCCCCCCTGTGGCCAGTGACCGCGGTGGGTGCTGCCAGTAACCGCGGTCTGCAGCCTCCGATCGCAGTGACAGGCTGCACTGCGATCGGTATTTAACATGTGTCAGACGATTTTAAAATCGGCTGACACATGTATCCGCTATATTTTTCCTGCTGCATATCACAGTCAGGGGACATGCCTGGCCCCCCAGGCAGTCCCCCTGAGGTCAGTGACCGCGATCTGCAGGGTCTGATCTCAGTGACAGGCTGATCGGAGGCTGCAGACCGCTGTCACTGGGCACATAGGATGTGAGCATTTTTCTCCCTTTACTCATGAACTTGGATGTTTTTTCTCTTCATTACTTTATTTGTTTTTGCAATTTTAGAGTGCCTTTATATTATGGTGCCTTTATATTGTGGTGTGTTTATTCTATGGTACTTTTACTCTATGATTCCTTTAAACTGTGATGTCTTTAAGCTGTGGTGCATTATGCAGCTCTGCCTTATGATGTAATGCCTTTAAACTGTGATGTCTTTAAACTGTGGTGCATTATGCATCTGTGCCTTCATTGCCTTATGCTGTGATGTCTTTTATACTGTGATGCCTTTAACTTTGGTTATTTTTTGCACCTTGTTGCCTTTTTATCACTTTGCAGGCACTTTTACTCTATTTCTTATGCTTCCCCTTGGTCCCGGGGATTCCCGGTTCCCTGGGTGTTCAGGGGTCATGTATGCTGCAGACAGAGCTCTGTCCCTGGTCTTTAGACAGCAAATGCACTTGGAAGACGCCCGCCCATTTGCAGTTTGTGCCTTAAAGGCCCAATACTGATGACTTGCATCATGGGAATACAGATTGCAGCAACCATCTTGGATTAGGGCAATTGCCAGAAAATACCTAAAATGGAGGGAAAATGAATGTAAACATCCAAAACTTTTTTGGAAAGTATAAATCTGTTTGACTGTTTTCTTGGTTATAGAATTTGACAGTGCCCTTTTGTACTTTTATTCTTCTCCACATGTAATATATATTTTTTGTTTATTTTATGTCTGAATCTTCACCATGTTCTGATTATGATGGAAATGCAGTGGTAGGAAAACCGTTATGCATTGCCTGTCTTCAGAAAGTAACCTCTTCAGCTTTACCTATACCTGCACAGCCACAGGACATGCTGGCATAGCTTACAAAGGAAGTTGCATGGTATTTTCTGAATCTACGCCATGTTTTGGTTCTGATGAGAAAGCAGTGGAAGGAAAACAGTTATGCTCTGATTGTCTCCATAAGGTAGCCGCTTCAGCATCACCTATAATGGCGCAGCCACATGACAGCTGGGCTGATGCTACCGCTTGACAACTCGGCTTTTTTTACGCAAGCCTATGGATCAAAAGTGGATGCAGACCTGTACAAATTTATACGCCTGCCGATGCAGGTTGTCATCCAGCTGTAGTTTTCACTGCTGTTTCTAGAACCATGAAAAGTGTGATCAAAGCTAAATGCTACTGTGGAGAGAGATATTAAGAGCCAAGATTGAAGATGCAGGTTGGAGTCTTCAGGTTACAAGTGACTTCTTCACAGAAGCTTCCCTGGATGAAACAAGGATATTCTCTCAAACAAATGGCTTGATCTATAGCAGCTAGGAAAGCATTATGGCTCTGCTTCTAGGATGATGACATCCTCCAAGTCTGCCCTCTACATCATTTTATTTGAAGGAGAGCTGCTGTTTGTGAAAGCTTTTGATGAATCCATTAAAAGGCAGCTGAGGGCTGCAAGGTATTTGTGCATCAGGACTGACGATCCAAGAATCCAGCTCCTCAGGGTCAGACAGGAGAACCTCCAGTGACCAGCATTTCTGAGATACATGGAATTACTGACCCTGCAGGGTATGCTCCAGAGGTAACTCATGGCAATTGGTAACCTGCCTTTCAAGGTTCTAATAGAGCTATGAAGAAGGTATAGCACTGAAGCTTCAGACACTAGAGTCTCTATACCAACAAGAGAATTCAGACTGGTATAGCAGTGAAGGAATATGTATGAAACCTTCTGGATGAAGATGTGATTTCTTAGGTCCCTTAACAAGAGCAGTTCCTGGGACAATGTTCGCCTCGCTTCTGATGCTAAAAGTAAAGGCACATGGAAGTCTATACTGGACCTAAGAAGGGCCAACAATAGGCTGAGTGACAGAGCCTTCAGGATGGAGTCAATCAGATCCATATCCCCAGCAATTTGGAAGGACAAGTTCCTTATCTCTGTATATCTCAAGGATGTTTACTATCATTCCAATAGTCCTAGATCTTCAGAATTATCAGAATTATCTCAGAAGAGAACTTCCAATTAGTGCCCTATCATTTGGCCTCACTGCAGCCCCAAGAACCTTATGTGTGCTTATAGTGATATTGAGAGTCCAGAACACCACCTGGTTCCATTATCTGGATGATCTACTACTGGAAGACCCACAGAAGGCAGGCGCACAGAGGGATATAGTTCTTTCAGAATACCTGAAGTTTGGCTGCTTGATGAATAGCAACAAGAGCAGTCTCACGCCAGCTCTGAGGAAGACTTTTCTGGGTGGAGTATTCTATACTCTGCTTTCCCCTATCTCAGGAACAGTTCCACAGATGGTGGAAGTTTTCTCTTCCAGTTTCTTCATTTTCGCTTGGTAACAGCAAGAAAGTAGCTGCAACTACTAGGAATCCTAGCTTCCACCACCAGACTTGTCAGATATGCTCAATGGCATCTCAGGATTACTCAAAGGTCCTTCCTATCTCAGTTTAACAAGAGAAAGAAGAATTGGAGCCAGTCACTGACGATGTCACCATCAGTGGAGTTACACCTTACCTGGTAGATGAAAGAGAGAATATGTCTCTGGGTTTCCTATGATCAGAGCTTCACTGGGCAATTATAAGCTCGGATTCCAGTTTTCAAGGATTGGATACACATTGTCTGGACCATGTTACACAAGGTCTGTGAATAAGGGAAGGAACAATATTTCCATCCAATGTTATGGAATTATGAGTCATTTTCAGGGCTCTTCTTCACTTTGAAAGGTTGCTGAAGAACAAGTGGGTCCAAATTTGCTCAAATATCAATGCAAATGTATCCTATATCAATTGTCAAAGTGGGTCTCACAGCCACTTATTGACGAGGCAATTACAGCCCATGATGAGCATGGCACAGGAGAACAACCAGGTGCTCAGAATACAATGGCTGATTACCTGAGCCAAGTAACAGTGGTCAATGTGGAATGTCAATTTTGTCCCGATGTATCCTCAGGGTTGACTCAGATCTTGCTGATACCCTATGTAGATCTGATGGCCACATCTCAGAACTACCAGATCCAGTAGCTTTTTTCTCATTTTTAGGACCTGAATGCTCAAGGTCAGGATACTCTGACTCAAATTTGGATTCTCAGTCTGTTGTACATATTTTTCCTGTCTTCAACATTCCTAAAGGAAATTCAAAGGAGACAGTGGAAGGCCACGAAGACTCTAAATCCCTATAATGAGTAAGATTAATCTGGAACCTTAAGCTCTGTTGTTGAGGCTGGTGTCTCTAGAAATATAGGCATCCCTGAGACGGTCATTAAGATCCTGTAACAGTCAGGGACGTATTAGCCACGAGGCAAACAAGGCATTTGCCTTGGGCGGCATTTTTCAGGGGGCGGCAAAAAATGCCGCCCCCAAATGCCCAGGGCAAATGCCTAGTTAGCCTCGCGGCTAACTGACATCCCGGGCGGGCGGCGCTGGCAGGCGGGCGGCTGGCGAGGGAGCTCTTCCTCTGAGTTGTCTGCTCGGCTCCCTCGCGCGCCGCAGAGTGAGGCTGGGAGCCGGAATATGACTTCATATTCCGGCTCCCAGCCTCACCCTGCGGCGCGCGAGGGAGCTGAGCAGTCAGCTCAGAGGAAGAGCTCCCTCGCCAGCCGCCAGCCCAGCAGCCACTGGACCACCAGGGAGAGAGAGGAACCCCCCCCCCCAGCACTCCCAAAGGTAAGGAGGTTGGGGGAGGGGATTTAAATTTAAAAAAAGTTAATGTGTGTTTGTGTCTGACTGTGTTTGTGTGAGTGTGTGTGTTTGTGCCTGACTGTGTGTGTTTGTGTCTAACTGTGCGTGTGTGTTTGTGTCTGACTGTGTGTGTGTGTGTTTGTGTCTGACGGTGTGTGTGTCTGACTGTGTGTGTCTGACTGTGTGTGTGTTTTTGTCTGACTGTGTGTGTGTTTGTGTCTGACTGTGTGTGTGTCTGACTGTGTGTGTGTGTGTGTTTGTGTCTGACTGTGTGTGTTTGTGTGTTTGCGTCT